ATCTGTCTAAATAAAAGGTCAAGAGAGAAAAGAAAAAAAGCTGGATTCTGTTAAGTCTAAATGAATCAGACATCATTAACTCATGTGGCAGGCAGTAACTCTGAAGTCCAGCCCCATCATCCTTCGTCAAACGTAAAGAATGGTGATTAACACGTGGGGGTCACTTTCACGCTTGTGTGGTTTGTTATCACAGCACGTGTGCCAGGTCAACAAACCTAGATCAGCACATGTGTACAAAAAATGCATCACACCAAGACGAACGGGTTTGATGACTTTGGAAAATTTGCGTGATAGGCACAAGTGAGCTGCGGGTTTTGTGTGTGTACAGAACACAGCATGTACAAGGCACAGGGGGAGCAGAATATGTTGGAGCGCCTCCAGCTCTGTCCCGCCAGAGCTTATTAATCGAAATCGGCATGTGGTATCCAAATGTGCAGTTTTATCTGCTGCCAAACTTCAAGAGTTGAAAAACTTGAATCGTGGCATGTTTATGTTCTTTTATTTTACAGCGTCGACCCTCAAATCCGCTTATGCTGTGCACGGTATAAACCATACAAAGGAGCAAAATTTCTGTACTTCAGAGGATAAGGATACATGTATTATATCAAAAGGAAAAGCAGTCCTCCTGCAAGAATGTTTAATGCACACTGGGGCATGTGGTCACGGAAAGTACGGCTTTGCAAAGTTGTATAGAACTTTATAAGGACCTAGAGAGTGAAGGGAAAAGCTAGCCTTGCAATATCATAGAAATGTTAACAGTGTAACAGAAAAAGGTCCTCAGCTGGCCAAACATTTTACAATGTGACCGATGTCTGTAAAATCTTTTTCAGATTCACCAAATCAATATAAAGTCAGGGCCTACCTAAACGACCCATTTCATTGCTAATAAGACCGGCCCTGCACTACATAATTGTTGGTAGATCTAAAAGGTAGTTGTGCAATGTATATGCAATGTATAGTGACACTAAACTCCGGAGTTAAAAAAAAAAAACTTAAAAAAATGTATTCAAGAACCTTAACTATTAACTTATTATCTTATTTGTGTATCACTCGGCTGTAGATCCTCAAATCATCTCTGAATTGGTGCCGACACTGTCCTTCCTTCTGGAGGGTGGCTACTTGGTCCCCACGGTCCCTTGTGTGTGTTGTAAAGTAGTTACCGCTTCAAGATCACTCGCATGATGGACTACAATCTCATGTTTAGATTACTAATTTGTAATGAGATTGTAGTCCATCACGGGAGCGAGCTCCAGAAATGCAGTGAACTCTTTGTAGTGAGCAGACAATATAGTGCCTCAGCTGCTGTGTTGGTTAGGTGGGCGGCAGGGGTGCAGGACCTTCACAAAGACGCTGTCCTTTAATGGCAAGGTGACATACGAAACTTAGAAAAAAGTGCATGTATTGCAGACATGTACTGCATAAAGTGGAACTTTGGACTGGCCCAAAAACAGGAAGTGACAACACCCACATATGCAAGATATATTCCCTCTTTTGTCCAGGGAAGCACTAAGATATAGTACTTGCGTTACTCCACAATCATGCAGGCTTCTTCCCTGCTGGTTTCAATAGTAACCAGAAACCTCTAAAGCTGATCACCTAACTCTGGTCCCAGATGCAATCCTGTACAATGCAGGATCAGCAGCCACAGCTGGCCCTACATTGTACATGATGACAATGAGAGCAAGCAAGGAGTATCTGTGCTGTTCTAGTTATTGTTCATTCTTTACCCATTTTGGAAAAAACCTTGCACAAAACATTCCTGTAATATTTGTATATACAATGAACAGGGTCAGTCAGGAGAAAATAATTTCCCTTGTTTAACAAGGTCAGGAGCCATGTACAAGTAATAACCCACAGCAGCCAACCAGATCATCTCACTAATCAGAATATCTAAATGCTCAAAAACAGACACAATATGGGGCTATTTAAAAAGCAGTTAATGTGACTTTTACCAAACATTCTCTGGTGGGTAATCAAAGAATTTAAAACACACGACCCTGGAAGATTCTGACAATGTTTGCTGAATGTCATATTCACTGCTTTAAAAATATGCTGGTGTGCATCACTGCACTGTGTGGTCATTTTTAATTAGGGTTGCACAGATACCAAGTACAGTACTTGGTACAAGTACGAGTACATGTACCGATACTTTTGAGCTCCAAGACTAAACTAGAGAAAAATTCAAAAATTAGGAGGAAGCTGTCATTTGTAAGGAGCACACGGAGCTCCTGGGATTTGTACATCTCCGTTTTAATGTATTATTTTGTTTTTATAAATATAAATAAAGGGATGCACAGATACCAGTTTTGAGAGTACGAGTACTGGTACTTGTCGAGTACTTACAAGTACGAGTACTGATACATTTTTGTTTATTGTCATGTGACAGTTTTTCTAAAACAATACAGACTAATGATTTCAGGACAGTGGTGGAGTGCCAAAGCTATGTCCTAGCTGCAACCGCTGCAACCCTGGTAGTTCTCATGAAAATGTCAAGTATCTGCACTGGTACTCGAAAAGTATCTGTACATCCCTATTTTTAATACTCGATTTAGGGCTGATACAACAAAGTCACAAAAAAGGTTTGTCCTTCGTTCCTGATAATCATTAAAATCTTCTAATTCACCTCCCACTTCTCCTGAACTAAACTGCACCTGACCCAGTTTATTTACTACCCCTGAAGTTGTGCTGTCTCTCGTGCAAAGTGTTATTCTTCTCAGGTAGAAATCCTCTTAGTGATATTAAAGCTGCAAACCCCCTCCCCCCCCCCCAAAAAAAAAGCCCA